TTCAAAAAGCAAATCTTTCCGAATTTATTCTGAATTATGACGATTCTGACCGAACCTAACCATGCCTAATCTGGTCTCTTACCAGATATTTACTCATTGTGTATAATTGAGGTTGTTTGGGATTTACCCCAACAAATATTAAAAAGCCAATACAAATCTAAATACAAATCTCATTAATATTAGTATAAAACAAAGCTATTTTACTGCCTTCGGGTCATAGAAGGGAGGGTGTGGTACACTTATAACTAATAGATCAAGAGAAACCCTACCTTCTCCTTCTTCCACATCAGTAAGGGATCTCTCTACTCCAAACTCAGAACTTGCTGAACTTTGGCTACTCGTGATACTGTCCAAGCGTTTCTTCAATTCCTCTCCATTTTTATGTCCAAACCTCTCTTTTTTAGTCTGTGAAGATAATCAGAATTTCAATTAGCAACAGGCAAAGTAGTACAAAATGGAAATAATTACAAAAAATTTAAACTTTGACAATATCTGTATTGAAGCTATTCGCAAACATTATGATCATCCTTAGTGGCATCTAAACAACAACAACAGCAAAAATAGTATGTGAAAACTGTGGTCAGCAAAGAATACACTCAAAGGGCCAGAAAAATTCTCAAAAGCAAACTCAATGGAGGCAATATCATCAAAGCCATACCTATCATAAGATATACTGCTGGCATCATAAACTGGACGCAGGCGTACTGGACAATTTGGACAGAAAAACAAGAAAACTCATGACCATTCATTATTCACTGCATTCTTGCAGTGATGATGACCGGCTATATCTGCCTGGAAGYTCTGGTGGTAGAGGGCTTTTACAAGTTAAACAAGCYGTCAAAGAAGAAAATCATGCCCTGGCAGAATATGTAAAGGAAAGTGAAGAACCTGCTTTGATTGAAGTCAACAATTGGAAACTTCTCAAAGCACAGCAGACAAAAAAATCAGTACAAGAAAACTGCACTCCAAACCAGTGCTGACAGCTGGCACAACAAACCATTGTGTGGGCAGTTCCTTG